GTCCGGGGCAGTGCCACTGACTTGAAGTGTCTTTAGGCCATACTCAAAGGGGGAACATTTCTCGTTGAAGCACAGTAGAATTGTAAATGGGTGGTTCATGTCACGCTCAAAACTGTGCCTGATCTACAACAGGGAACTGCTGTTTTTTCTTTCTCAATCCTTACTGTCGTCATTTTCCTCTACTTCTTTTGTATGTTTGTCACTCTCTTGTGACTTGCTATTTCCGGGGTGCCTAGATAGTTAAAGCACACCTTGTGCCGTTGGAGCTAGAGAGGTGAGCATAATAAGTCTGATTCCCTGTAAAAACGTCTCTGTTGACACCCACCCCTTGGCGCTCATATGACCTTATGCAGTTGCATAAAAAGCCTCTACTATAAATATAAATAAATAATCAAATACACAGTTTATACCACCTGTCTGTCACTCCCATCCTTAGAATAAAACAGGTGGTACTATGGCATCAGACAGTTTCTAAAAACGTAAAGATTGCGACCTATTAATCACAATACATGTATTTAGAATCTTTGGAGCTGTACACACGTAAAAGCAACGCTCAGGTTACAGTATAGGTTGCCACTTCCAAAGAACTTCCAGTTGCAGAGAGAGAGAGAGAGAGAGAGAGAAAGAAAGAGAGAGAAAGAGAGAGAGAAAGAGATAGATAGATAGAGATAATTTAAGAGAAGAGTGTGGAACAGAGAGAAATGCATTACAAAATTGACACATTTCCATACAACTTGAAGAGAAGTAAGAAAAACAGGAAGAAATTAAATCTACAACCTACCTTCTTTCCTTCTCACCCAGGTTCACATCCTCATTACCCAATTCACCGGAGTAACTGACCAACGCACAGACCTGATTGCTGTCCGGATGGCCAGCTGTAACCAACTCCTGGATCCATGGCTCTACGTCATCTTCCGGAAAAGCAGCATCACCAGGATCATCCGCAGACTGAAGCGATGCTTCCACCCTTGCGTTTTCGGCCGAGCTCCGCCTAACCGGCCCAAGCAATACCCGGGACGTTACGCCACATGTAAGAGAAGCTTTACGTGTGAAAACACCACTGTGGGGCGGACAGCGATCAACGGTGTGGATCGGACACCCCTACGATGGACTTCACCGATGAGAAATAGGACCAACCGTCGTGGAGAGTCCAACGGACATTGCGTTTATTGGAAGCCCTCTTGGAAGGGGCAGGGTTATTGTAAAGACACGCCCAGTGACGACAGCACGGACGATAGCTCCTCCCACCTTCTCCAGGTCTGTCCGTACTGCGTTCAAAACGACAAAGAAAAATACGTCCTACATTCGCTAGCTCAGCTCAGCATAGGTTGGTCACCGACAAATTCACCCGCTGAGTCAGGAAAAGTGCTCTGCGATGCCAGCCAGAGGAGTTATAACTGCAGCGACGTCAAGTCAAACTCTAGAGGATTTGACAGAGGGTCAACAGACTTTCAAGCGAGATGTACTGTGAGTGACAGCGGAATGTCCAAAATACAGCGCCACAGAACAAAATCTGAACGTGTGCTCCGCGCAACCCAGCCTTCTCTTCACGCAGTAGCGTCTCTGCCGCTTCTAAAGCTTGTTAGACCGAGAGTATCGAAGAAATCTTTTCTTCGGCATCGAAAACGTATGACAGATCAGACAAAGCTGTCCTCAAAGGTTTCCGGGAATTATCGTTCTTTAGATACAGCCCACCGTGTTACAGACAGACAAACCAATTCTCAGAAGCCGATTTCCGCTCCAGTGACACGTCTAGCGTTACCGGTGAACTTCTCCACAAGCGCTTTTCTGACGTCACCTCAGCCTCCTACACCAACTAAACAGCAATCTCTACCAATGTTTGACAGTCCATCTTTTCCTATTAATTTTTTCGCATTTCCTCCTGCCACTAGTCTAGAAATGTTAGCTCGAAATACAATTCAGTCACTGGGTTTGGAAGACGAAACCTATAAAAAATCTGAAGCCACGCCTGGACTGTCGCCTAAAATGGCGGAGAGTGTGCCTGCAGAAAATGACGTTACTCCCAGCACGTTAAACGAAAACAAACAATGCGATGCCTACACTTCGGATTGTAACTACGGGGTACAAAACAGTGGTGCTGAGACACAAGTATTACTTTTACAACATAACCGTTACTCGGGATTTAACTCAAATACACACAGTTCATCAGCTTTGAATATATCTGCTTGTGACGATGATTTCGATCTTGAAGATGAGGTTTTCTTAAATGTTGGTGAAGAAAGCGTTTCCCCAGATCTCGTGATATCATCTAAGCAAGGTGTTTCAGAGGCTTTGAATCAAGAGAGATCTGAAACAGAGAGCTTCTGCGAAAACGATTCACTGCTCCAGTTTTCAACAGAAGACGAAAAATCATATTATTCAGACACTGTTATTTCTTTCAAAAATTGGTAACTCTGACTTCAATACTTTATCATGTGTTGTGGCCTTAATCGAGTGTTAGCTCTTTGCGGATTTAGCAGACACGTATAAATCCGACCAGCAGCAGACAAAGGGCAGTTTTCCGGCTCACAGAAAACCTTCATTCACAAATTAGAAACACGGATATGCTTATTTCTTAATATAGTATTCATGTTGTTGCCTCTGGGTTTTTTTAAGTTTCAAAGAAAGTTGAATGGAAAAATCTCAATGAATAACACAGTTGTGCTTCTTTTTGAAAGTGCCGTAAACAAGCGTTGTCGAACGACCAGATTGCGCGTCCTCAAGGAGTTTAAGCTGTAGAAGACCAAACATCTTGTCCTGCTGTGACATCTGGATGTCTCAGACATAAAGCAAGACCATATTATTAACACACAGCCCAGAGAGTTTGAACACTGATAATATTGTGAGAATAAAAAGGGAGATCTTGATGTCGAAATGCTGATTGGGAGCACAGTCGTATTTAGACCAAAGACTGCTTTTTTGCGGAGACTCTAATGGTGTAATGTCACCTACGGTTCATAAAGATTTATCA